TCTGTACGCTTCACCAAAGCGCGAGCCGCAGCTGCTGCAGCAGCGGGTGCTGCAGCAGCAGCAGCAACAGCGTGTGGTGTAGCAGCAGCAACGGAGGCGTGACGCACTGCAGGAGCGACTGCAGCACGGGATGCAGCGGGAGCAAGTGCTGCAGCAGCAGCAGCAGCAGCATGGAGAGCAGCGTGCTGCTGCTGCTGCACCCGCTGTAATCTTTGCAGGGGCCCCCCAGCAGGGGTGCTCCCTGCAGCAGCAGCAGCAACAGCAGCAGCAACCGAGCCAGCTGGAGCACCCGCCGCAGCATCAGCTGCTGCATACGCAGCACATGCAGCCGCAGCAACTGCAGCCACAGCCCCTGCAGCCGCAGCAACTGCAGCCGCAGCAGCTGCAGCAGCAGCAGCTGCAGCAGCAAATGCAGCAGCAGCACCTGCAACCTTCTCAAGCCGTAGGAGGCCCTGCCTTCATGCATGAGGGGCCCCCTTGGGGGGCCCCTGCTGCTCTGGGGGCCCCCTCAGCTTTGTGTCCACCGCAGCAGCAGCAGCAGCAGCACTTGGGCTTTGGAGCTGCTGCGGGAGCCGCAGCAGCAGCACCGCAGCAGCAGCGCAGCAGCAGCGACCCCAACGCAGCTGCAGCAGCAGCACCTACAGGCTTTCCTGCTGCTCCCTATGCGTCACCTGCTGCAGGAGCAGCAGGCATTCCTGTGAACTCGCAGCAGCAGCAGCAGCAGCTGCTAGCAGGCCGGCGCATGCAGGCATACGCTCCGCTGCCGGCTCACGCTGCTGCTGCTGCTGCAGACCCTGCAGCAGCAGCAGCAGCAGCACCAGGATCAGTACGCTACGCAGCGCCTCCGGGGGCCCCCAGGGGCCCCTACGGGTGCAGCCCCAGCCCAAACCCTTATTACTTGAGGGCTCCCGGGGCTGCGGGCCCTTACCCTGCTGCTGCTGCTGCTGCTGCTGCTCCAGGGTTTGCTGCCTTTGGGGGGCCCCAGCAGCAGCCGCAGCAGCAGCAGGCACACCTCATGACGGCAGTGCCGCCGCCGCAGCAGCAGCAGCAGCAG